TAATTTCTAGCCATTTGTCTTCATCTTCTAATCCTATCTATGAAGACTTGTCTTAATGATTGATGAATGGATTGCTAGATAGATAATAGATGATAGATGATAGATAGATGGATAGATGATACATGATAGATAGATAGATGATAGATAGATAGATAGATAGATAGATAGATAGATAGATAGATAGATAATAGAGAGACAAGAGGCCAATCACAGAAAAAATTATGGAAGTGCATAACCAATTGATGGCCATCTTAAAATAGAAAAACAGACTTTACATATTTGCAATTATTCTGTCACTTTCAATGACTGAAAAAAACAATTGGCTCTCCTAACTGTCAAAGAGTTATTTCTCCAATCTCTTTGCACCTAACATATACTTAATTTGGTAAATATTGTATGTGTATGGGGGGGGTGTATCTGAATTCATGTCATTTGCTATCTCTTAGAACTAAATGCCATTACTCTAATAGTTGTTAAAATGTTACAAATAAAGTAGGAGGAAAATGAATTGAACTCAATCTAAATGAATCTTGAGAAGTAGTTAGTCATTTAGTTTTTATTCCAGTAAACTAAAGAACCATCAAAAACCAACCAAATATTGAAGATCATGTCATTCTTTATCTAAATGTGGTACATATATAATAGAATATTACTTAGTGATAAAAAAAAAAGAATGAAAAGAAAGAATTGTCATTTGTGACAACATGGATGGACCTAGAGGGTATTATGCTAAGTAAAATGAATCAGAAAGAGAAAAACAAATACCATATTATTTCGTTTATATGTAGAATCTAAAAAAAAAAAATAAATGAACAAACAAAATAGGAGCAAACTCAGATTTAGAGAATAACTGATGGTCAGCAGATGGGAGAAGATTTGGGGGGATGGGTGAAAAGATGAAGTGATTAAGATGTACAAATTGCCAGTTATAAAAATAGTAATGAAGATGTAGAGTACCACATAGGGAATATAGTCAATAATATTGTAGTAACTATGTATAGTGCCATATAGATACTAGACTTGTTGGGATGATCATTTCAAAGGTACGTAAATGTCTAATCACTATATTGGACATCTGAAACTAATAACCAATATAATTTTGTATATCAATTATAATTGAGAAATAAATTTTAAAAAATAATAGTGCCATTCACTGAAAAAATATTTACTTATTGTCACCAGTTTGGGTTTAGAAATACCTTTTTTCTTTAGCTTTTTACAAAATGCATTGAAGGAAAGGGGATTAGAAATAAATAAATAGCAAGCTTATGCTCAAATTATGTCTTAACTCACCTTGAGCCAAATTAATTTCCTAGGCCTACAGGTGTCCAGAAGTTCAGCTTTACCATCCAAGTAGATAATAAATAGAGAGGTAAGCAATTGGCCTATGTCAGAAATAAAAGTGAGCAAATCAACGGGTAAATTAATAAGACAAAACATATTATTTTTTTCACAACTGCAGATTTTGGTGACCAGTGCCTGTCCAACACACTTTTGGTTACTTGGTGAGTACCCTGGCTATGGTGGGGGAGGGATTTGTCATTTCCTGCCATAAAAAGGCAGTAGGCTGTGGTAGAAAAAGTAAAAATAGCACCACATTGTCACAAAGAAGTGTGCTGTACTCCAATTGGGTGTGTGGGTGTGTGTGTGTGTGTGTGTGTAGGGAGAAGATGATACTTTTCTTAACCTGACTTCCTTTTATTTGTACTTCTTTGATCATAATACAATGTCATTGCTTAAATATATATTCTCAAGAGTTCAGACTTTAAAAAAAAAAGGAATGAACGTGTTTTGAGTCTTCTACTATGCCTTAGATCATAGCTTTCAAATAAAGATGGTAAATTTGTATTTAGGTGATTTTTAAAATGTTAAATGAACATTGAGCTTGTGGGAGTCATTGTTGCTGAGAAGGATGTGTTTTCTCCTTAGTTGTTTCTAAAGTTTTTTCAATTTGATTCCCAAACACTTAAGTGAATACACTGTGATTATTTTGGGGAAACCATGGAGGAAATATCGATTACTTCAAAAGTATAGCATTCAGAACACTTATATTATTTATTGGCAGATTACTAATAGGGAAGAGAAAATTTTCCTTTTGGGGGAAAAAAAAGACAATTCTATAAAGAAAAAAAATAGATGTAATTCTCAGTAAATGGAAAAAAGAAAGTTCTTTAAGTGGCCTTTGTAATCTCCAAATGCTTTGTGGTGGCCAATATCAATGATTAAAACTATAGCTATTAATTATTAAATATGTATTTAGATTTTATAATCTGAAGAGCCTTTAAATGACATACTGCAAAAAATACACAGAACTGAAAAACTGAAAAAAAAAATGGTTCTGCAAACATGCAGGTACATTTGTATTACCCACCTAACAGAGATTTTCTGTCTGCTAATGGACATTTATTTAGTACTGTTCTATTCTAAGTGTTGTGAGAGATACACAGATGATTAGGACAAAGTCTCTACTCTCAAAGAGCATACAATCTAGTGGATATATAGATGACTATGCCATCAGACAGGATGAAACACATCAGATTACAGTAGAGGTACAAGCAATATGCTGTGGGAAGTCAAAGGAAAGAGGTAATTCTAATTTGAATGAATCAAGGAAGCCTTGGAGGAAGATATTAAATAGTTAGAATTCTTCTTTCTATCAAGAATTTTTCTATCAAAGTAAGAATGTAGGAATGGGGGAATGGAATATAAAAACATTCAGGCTAAATTAAAAGACAGAGACATCAAGGTACATGATGTATTCAAGGATAGCCTGGCATCATGGAAGCCTAGAGCATGTGAAAGAATATAAAAAGAGAACATAGGAACTAGAATGTCAGATTTTTAGGTCACAATTTGAACACTTGAAAAATTCTGCACAAGTTTATAATGTGCTTCACATTGTACCTGATAAAGACATCTTCTACAGAAATATGTTAATCTAAAATAAGAAAGTTATGTTATTTAACAAATAAAAAGGAAGTAGGGGTATTACTCATATCCAAACATTATAAAAAGAGATAAAATGTGAATGTTTTTTTTTTCCTGTGTGAAATACTGCCGGGTGTTATTTATACTGTGCTGGAAAGGTATAACAAGTTTGCATTTGCTAGAGGAGAGTCCTTATTTGCTTGCCTATTTATTTTAACTAGAAGGTGCTACTCTGTCATTTGAGTCAATCCAAAATAGCAGCTCATAATATTTCTATAAGAGCATCTGCAAAAGATTTGGGAAAAAGATATTTTCTAGGCTTCTTAGAAACTTTCCACCCCATAATACAGACTACAAGAAAAGAATAAATGATATATAGCCTACTTTTAAATCCAAGGAACAAAATCACATAACATTGTTCTTTTTAGTCCTCCTTCATTATATTCCAATCTTGAATTGTATTACTATTCACTCCAGTAAAATAAGGAGTCATGAAAAATGAAATAAATATTGCAAATAATGCCACTCACTGAAAAATTACTTTATTTTTCAAATACAAAACAAATAAAAAACTTATCAAAACATGATACAGTGAGTACACACATGCAAAATTACAGTCTAATATTACCCATCACCAAGCTCCAGGGCCTGACATGATCCCAGGCTTGACTTGAGATTGGGTTTGTGATTCTTTAGGACACTTCAGCCCTCCCCTAGAGAAAAGTAAAACTTCTGGGTCTTCATGAATCTAGTGCCTAAAAGATTGGTGTGGGAAGAAGAGAAAAAGTCCTATGACTCAATTTTCACCACTCTTTTCAATCAATATATTTGATGCCATCTCAGACAAATGTTACAACAGTTCTGATGAGAACCTACAATATAATTTGATGTTTGATGTTTTATATCTGGGACATCCTTATTCCATACATGGGCTAGAGAGATTTCCAAGTGAATATGTCATTACCTGAGTTCTTGGATCATGGTTACAGCAGAATTGGCACCAGGGTCTTTGACGTTAGTCTAGGACTCTCCCCATTTCATCCTTGTTATTCTCCTTTTGGAGGCAGATCTGAAGCAACAGGCACCTACACCTCTAACACATTATAGTTTTAACTCTTTTCTCAAATGTGGTGGCTTACAAAGGAAGGAAAGTCTGGGAAAGAGATGTATTAAAATGATATTTCACTCTCTCTGCTTACACCTAAGCCAGGGGGCCATACACCTGTCATAGAGTTTCTATCACTGGTGGAAGATTAGTCAAGAATCTAGTTATCTTTTTTGATGGCACTTCAGTGTCAGTAACCAGAAAAAAATGCCTCTAAGAGCCAAGAGTTTTCAGAAGACTCAGTTTGCTTCTACTAATCAAGATTATGCTGTTGGAATGAGAGGTATAGGATTACAGTAATAGTTCCTGGCATGGACCAGTGACTCAAGGACATGGGAGGCTTATTTTTTAAAGTTAGGGACAAAGTAAATTCTTTTAAAGTTTTGCTTAAATTATAGGATTCACTTTTCAAGCATAGAAAACATGATAGAATATTGAGAAGTAATCGACCAGAATCTTATTTAGTTGGAGTACTAGAGAAGACAGACTGCAAAGAACCAGAAAATAAGACAGGCCCAGCAAAGACAAAACTGCCATTAGAGGAGGCTTATATTAACTTACCTGGAATAGCAAAGTTCAGTGGCTTGTACCCCTCTTCCATGCCTGCTTCACATGCCTGTGACCTAAAAATCTGACATTCTAGTTCTATTATGTCATTTAAAATCCAAAAATGAGATTCCCATATTTTAGATTAATTACCTTGCTCTTAGAACATCAAATGTTTTATTGGCATTTTTAGAGTAATTACTGAGAGTTCCATGGGTACTTTTGGGGATAATTACTAAGGGCTAAACTGTTCCTTTTTTGTCACTTACATTTTAGTATTTAAAATATTAAAATTTAAATTATTTTCCATCAGGATTATTTATGCAGTTTCCAAAGGTCCTGGTATCTGCTGAGAGGTCTCTATATTAACTTTTTGTTTTTAAAATAAAATGCTATAGATTTTAGAGAATATAGTGTGTAGAAAATGGTCCCCCAATATAAGTAAAACACAAGTAACAATGTGTGTGTGTGTGGGGGGGGGGGTTACTATTAGGCACCAAGACTGGAAAAAGCTGATACACTAACTGAGCTGAAAGGCAAAGTATGCAAAAGCTCTGAGATCTATTCCACATGATCCAGAAATTCTGAATTTTTGTGGGGTACTGACATTACCCAGGAAAAGATGCCAGGTCTAAGTTTCTGGACTCTACTTTAAAGGTGGGAGTCTGACATTCTAAGCTTAAACTCTCTTTAGAGAACAAAAGCTTATGCTTAAAAAAAAAAGGAGTTTGGTCTCCAGCCAATAAGTGGGAAGGGATTTTTCCTTTCTTTTTTCTTAAAGAGATTTTTGGCAACCCTTGAAATCACACCACATTAGGTAGCTATGCACACCTTAAAACAAGGGCAACAGGGGTGAGGCCCTGGAGACTGGTTTAATTTTTCAACTCAGTCTTGCTCTTTTTACCAGACTCCATAATGTTGGTTTATATTTCCAATTCTTCAGCCTATTAACTTTATTAGGCAATAGATATGGCACACTCTCAAAGGAAAAAGTGCAAGAAAAAGACTGCAAAAGAGTGAAAAGGGCCAGAAGGACCTGATTATCTTGCACTTTATTTTATTTTATATGAGCTTGAAGGCTTACAACTTTTCTTAAAAAATGAACAAACAAACAAATAACATTTTTTCCCCAAATACTCATGTCTGAGACACAAGGTGAACATTCAGAAAAGCTGAGGAAAATCCCCATAGCCATGTCAGCACTGAGAACAGGAATTACTACATGCAGTTTTCCCACTGTAACATAACTTGTGATTTTCTCATCACTTTTACAAAGTGAAAATATTTGAAATTTAACCTGTAAAATGGAACTTTATAAAGTGGTGACCTCTGTTTTAAATAGAAAGTTAGGATACATATACCCAGAGTGGTAAAAACAGCAGACGCTAAATAGCCAGATATTTGGCTACATGCATTTCTAAACTATGTACTCAGTATTTTATAATAGCTATCAGATGTGATTTGGTGAGTGACATCAGAAGCATGACAGCATGAGATGCCCCCTTGAATGCTCCTCTTGAAATTACAACAAACCAAACAGCTATAATCCAAACAGAAAACTCCTAGCCTAACACATAAACATATTTGAGAGACCTGCACATCAGAGCATCTGAAGGTGGGTGAAGTGGGTAAGCAAGAGAAGAGGAAAGGAAGAAGGGCAGAGACTGGTGCTGCAGACATGCCCCGGATCTCCTTGCAGGACTCAGGAAGAGGGGAGGAATCAGGTTGAGGCATAAATGTTCTGTAGCCCTGACGGAGCATTCCTTCCTGAGTGATCAGCAAAAACTATAGTGGTGGAACCTAGTAGTAAGGGCAGAGACCAGGGCAGAGACAGAATACAGAGGTGTGACAGCTGTGTTCTAGCAATCACAATTGCCCTAACAGAAAGCTGAGTCACAGAGCCTGGTCACATCTTCTCAACTCTTC